GGGCGGCGCCAGCTGCCGGGGGAACGGGGGGCAGCGGCGGGAGTCCGGCCTCCTCCTCCGGCACCCAGCGGCGCGGGGAGGGGTCGGAGCGCAGGCCCCGCCGGGACCGCCGCAGCAGCAGCGGCCGCAGCAAGGACCGCCACCGAGAACACCGGCGGCGGGACGGGCAGCGCGGCGGCGGCGGCGGCGGCGGCGAGGCCTCCAAGTCCCGCATCCGCCACGGCCACGGCGGCGAGGAGCGGGTGGAGGCCGCCAAAAGCGGCAGCAGCAGCAGCAGCGGCGGCCGCCGGAAAAGCGCCTCGGCCACGTCCAGCAGCAGTAGCAGCCGCAAGGACCGAGACCCGAAGGCCCACCGGAGCCGGACTAAGTCGTCCAAGGAGCCGCCGTCGGCTTACAAGGAGCCGCCCAAGGCCTACCGGGAGGACAAGACCGAGCCCAAGGCCTACAGGCGGCGGCAGCGATCCCTGAGCCCGCTGGGAGGCCGGGACGACAGCCCGGTGTCCCACAGGGCCTCGCAGAGCCTGCGGAGCCGCAAGTCCCCCAGCCCGGCGGGAGGCGGCAGCAGCCCCTACTCGCGGCGTCTGGCCCGCTCCCCGAGCCCCTACAGCCGCCGCCGCTCCCCCAGCTACAGCCGCCACAGCTCCTACGAGCGGGGCGGCGACGTGTCCCCCAGCCCATACAGCAGCAGCAGCTGGCGCCGCTCCCGGAGCCCCTACAGCCCTGTGATCAGGTGAGTCCGGCGTCCCGGGGTCTGTCTCGGGCTGGGCCGGCCAGAGCCTCGGAGGCAGGGCAAGAGGCGATGGGGCGCTGCAGCATTCCAGTCGGCCGGCGAGGCGAGAAAACCTCACCTGGCACGGGGCTTCCGGTGGGGAGGGGCGTTTTCGCGCGCCCCGAGCACCTTGTGGGGGCTTCGGAGGGGACAAAGCAACAGGTCCAGCAGAGTTTCTCCTAGCTCTGGCGGGGAAGGGTTCTGAGGAAGGGTTCACCGTTTTAAAGGTGTTGCGTTAATCCATTTAAACGGGTTTCTCTAAACTGCTCTTTGCTTTTCCAGCGCAGTTGCTTTGGGTCAGCCTGGAGGGTGATTTGTCACCGTTTTGAAAGCCCTCCGAAGTGGTTTCGTTGCTGGAGACTTAAGAGTGGATTGCAGCTTAGGGAGTAAGCATTTGTAAAGGAGAATCGGCGCCAGGTGCTGATGTCAGAGTTAGATGTGGGTTGCAAATGTTTCATATAATTAGTACAGCGGTGGGAAAAGCAGCCTGTCAAGTTCATTCTTTCAATATGTGAAAAAGCTTACGGTTCTCAATTCGTAAGATAAGGAAGATACTCATTTTATGGTATTCTTGTGTGGAATAGTTTTTTTTTTACCTGATCTTCCAAAGTCATGATTTTTAAAAGTAGAAAAAAATGATGAGATTGTGGTTTCTGTGTTGGTTTGTGGTGACACCCAGTTGCTAATAACGTAATATAAACATAAGCTAGTTGGTGTAATCCCGTGTAGCCACCGAGTGAATGGCTTAGTACTGGACGTTTCTTAAACTATCACACTATCTGCTAGTACTTTAAATTACTGTTTACACTTACTTTAAAGTTAACTAGACCTTTAAGTGTCAGGATCTTTGTTCAGATATCTTTGAAAGGTATACTTCAGTGAAATTGGAGTAATTCTTTAATATAGCTGTTAATGCCTTGCCTGTTATATAATGCTGTTCTCCAAAAACGGTGTGTGCATTGATATATATTTATCTGTTAAGCAGAATGAATTAAAAGTAACTTCTGAGGATATTACAGGTTCTTAAATTCTTTTAGATGTCTAGAAATTCTAGGCCTTATAGTTTAGGGTATTACGAATTGTTTATATCCGTTGTTTTTTCCTATTGGTTTTACTTTTCAGTAATGCCAAGCAGCTGCTGAGTACCTCTAAGCACGGTTATGTTGAATCTCAATACAACATGTGTACCAGTAAAATTAGACTTCTTTGAAGCGTCAGCCTAGTAAGTGTAAAGATGTGATGCGAGTGGAGATTTGTGTGTGTTTGTCTTTAAACCAAACCAGCTGTATAAATCTCTTCATTCTTGCAGGGTTCAAGCACACTCTCAGTGCTAGTTGATGCCTTAAGCAAAGACTATCAACATTGAAAACTCATTTCACCATATCTAGCTTCTGTGTCTTGTACGAGTTTATATTTTACTTTAATTAAAATAGGTTTGCCAAAAGGCTTGCAGTTTTTGCAGATGAATTTGTTTTTGACGGAGTAGGTCAAAGTTTCAGTGCTTTAGATAGCAATTTTAGGTGTATGATGCAATTTTAGGAATGGATTTTGTGTTTATCAGGCCTTTTAGTTGCTGGATACTTCAGTGAGGTCCTTTATTATCTGATAGTGCTGTGTATTTTATATGTATTTCAGAGCAGTGGTATGTGCATTTGGGACTATTTGTATTTAGCAAATATATATTGAGCACATATTATATGCCAGATACTGTTTTAAGGACTGGAATATAGCAATGAAGAGAGACAAGGTCCTTGCCCTCATGAGGCTTGCGTTCTAGAGGACCATTCGTTACTGAATCTTTTCCTGGTGTCTGTACTGACCACCAGTGTTTCTATGTGGTTGGGTTTGGAAGAAGCTTTAGAATATTTTGGCCAACATTCCTGACATCCAGCCTTTTGGTTGTGTGCCTGTATACATCTAGAGGTGGGAAGATGTTACTTTGAGACAGCTTATTCCATTAGATTTGGGACTTCCTGGTTTGCCCAGTGTCTTAGCAACACCCTGGGAGACTCAGTTTCCTAAACTGTAACAGCGAAATACTTGGTTTTTTTAAGTTATTCCAAGGATTAAATGAAAATTTGTGTTTTATGTACACTTAAAATTGGTGAATTTTGCTGTACTTAAATTACATCTCAATAAAGCTGATTTTTTTTTTAAAGGGAAAAAAAGATTTGTGTTTTGCAAAGTGTAGAAATATTACAGACTATTACAGAAATGTAACGTGGTGGAATTTTTATTGAATAGCTTGAAATGCTAGAATTCTTCATATTGAAACAGAAATCTGCCTCCACGTAACTTCTACTAATTGCTTCAAGTTTAACTTTTTGGAATAGCTCAGAGCAAACCTGTGTGCTGCCTCTTCAAAATGTAAAGACAGTTGTTTTGTCTTTTGAGTCTTTTCTTCTCTGGGTCAAAAAACTCATTTTTCATACAGTTTTTGATTTCACATTATATTATACCTAGTTTGTCAAATGTCCTGCTTAAAATATGGGGCCCAGAATTTATAGTTAAAATAGTTGATTAAAGAACTTGATTTTTAAATATAACAAATGTGTTATTACTGTGTTGGAATAACTAATTGAACTATCTTGTCCAGCTTAATGCAGAAAGTTTTATTTAAGTCATTGTGATAGGTGGCCCATGTTGTTTAACGAATAGACTCTTGGATTGCGAGCTCCATGAAGGCAATTATCCTGTCTTAATGACTGTTGTATTCCTAGTGCTCAGTGTAGTATCTGGCACAAGTAGACTCTTAATAATTGTTGAATGGGTAAAGGAAGAGATGATGGCGTTTATTGAGCATGTGAAATATTGTGGGCCTGGATATGTAAGGATTTAATAGAGACTGTGTGTTTTGCTATAGGAAATAGCAGAGTGGTCTTTTTCCAGCCCACATGGAGCTTATATATGAATGAATTGTCACAGATATTTTTAAGGAAATGCATGCACATTCAAAATGGTATTGAGACCGTGGAATGAAGATGTTCTCTGTGTTAGTTCCTAGAATAAATCCTCTCTATGCTATTGACTTCTACTTCACAACCTGCTCTTTGCCACCATCTGAATCTTCAGCCCTCTGCTGCTGATGCTTTTCATCAAGTCCCTTCTTAGCTTTCCGTTTTCCCCTGTATAACCGGGTTACCATATTTCCTTTGCTACTTGACTGTTGGGGTGTGAGAAGTCATATAATTCTGCTGATTGGCCTTATAATAAATGTGCAGGTGGACTGAAGAGAGGGGCTGTTCAGAATGAGAGGCAGTGGTACTGACATTTAGGTTTTACTGAATGCCAGGCATTGACAAATACTTAACATATATTCACCTTTAAAACCCATGTTGTGGTTGGAGCATTTCTGTTGATAGATTGGGAAACTGAAGCTCTAAAAAGTTAAGTGATTTGTGTTCCAAGGTCAGCTTGGATTCAAACCCTGGGCTGATTCTGAAGTACCAGCTCTTAATATTGTGCAGTATTGAACCTCACATGGGGTTCAAGGGAGCTGACCACCTCACCTAATGATCTGTTTTGCTAAAATTCACCCCCTGTTTGGATATTTGTGCGTTAATTTCTGTTTCCTGGCCATCTTTGCAGCATTTTGAAGATTAAAAAAATCACATTCTTCTAAAGGTTCTTTCAACTCATTTTGTCCTTTTAATTTGTAGGTTTTATGAATAGGAGGCTAAAAACATTTTTTGAAGACACTAATAATAGTTATTGAGGGTTGTTTTGCAATGGGATGTCTTGGTCTGAAGTCACTCAAGTCAGACCAGTTACAATCAGTACAATAAATTGTTATATATAATTGATTCTCTCTCTGAACCTGTGGAAGTTCTCTTCCACCAAGAAGCAGCAGAAACCTCTGTTATGGAATAATATGGAGACCCTGAGAATCTAAAGATGGGCATACCCTAGATGGAAATTTAAATGAATTTATTAGTATTCATTTGCATATGATACGCAGTATCTCTTGTTGTGGATTATTTAGTGTTTTGTCCTAAAAACTAGTGCTCAAAAAATATATGAAATGAAGACATTCCAGAATTTTAAAAAAGCTATTACCCATAAAATACTGATTTGATATGTACTTACTGGAAATAAGTCATGAATATCCTTAGATGAATTGAATTCTTAAAAAGCTTTTCAAAAGTGTTAAAAAATACAGGATAGTTGGATAAATGCGGAAACACTCAGAAGGAATGGGAATTTAAGTGAACTGTCTTAAGTCTCCAAACTGTAAGCCTTTCGTTTCCAAGATGGGCTTGTGTTTTGCTGCTTCCCTGATCCAACCTTGCCTGACATTTACATCTGCTCATTCTCTATCACATTTTTGTTCTAACACTAATATTTATTCCATTTCCAGTACCTTAGTTCGGGCCCTCATTTGTAATCAGACTTCCTGTTATTCTTTTCTTCCCAATTCATTCTTTATTCAGGAGAGTTTGCTGAAAATTTTGGTTAGATTGTATCACTTCCATAAATGAAGTCCAAATTTTCTAATGCATTGTCAGGTAATGCCTTTTATATCTGGTCCCATTCTATCAGAGTTCTATTTTTAGAGGCACTTGTATTTCTCTACATTTTTCCTTTTGCTGTTCTTTTAGCTTGACATGCCTTTTTTCCCTCTTCTCTGCCTCCAGCTTTGCGTTCAAAACCCAGCTCAAATTCCATCTTGAGACCTTTACTCCATTCATCCAGAAAAAGTTAATTCCTTTTCTTATATTCCTGCGGCACTTTATTTTCTCTTTGCTGTAGAGCTTTTAAAAATTTGTGTTTTCTCTACTAGATTGTAAGCTTCTAGAGGACAAATTCCAAAGTGTATTTATTAGTGGTTGAATTAATTTGAATATTTTTGTCCACAGATTAATGCAAACCAGCTTTTGCATAAATGCCAGTTGTATCTCTAAATTTGCTTGCTGTTTTGGTTTACGTATACTCTAGGATGGGGGGAGTAATTGTTTTGATTT